GTACTATTCTGGTATGTTAGGGTCTCTGAAACAGTGATAGGTAGTGAGGAAGTGACATGAGGAAATATGTCCTTTGAAAGCCTGGAGGTGATCATTGGATTTTCATGGCCTGTATGTAGCTAGGCTACCAAAAAATCTCTCACATGTGGTATCTCCATACCCGGGTGAGGTAGTAGAATGTGTTTTGGGGTGTTATTCCACATATAACCAGAAAAAATAACAATGTTGAATCAAGTGACTTAAAAAAATATAGAACTCTGCCAACATCCCATGCAAAGCAGCAACAAGAAAAAAAACGATAGCAAAAAATCCTCCTGGGACTTTAAAGGCACAGAAGATCAATGCAGAGTCAAAATATCTTAAAAAACAAATGTCAACCTTTATTTGTAAATATATGTTGTTAGTAAAAACAGAAGAACCATATAGGTCCCTAAAACCACATAAGCAATGTGGGTTACTGAAAGGTGTTGCATACAATTAAGAAACAATACAGAGTACGTACATCCTAGCATAGAAAGACACACCAAAAAAGAACTACCAAATGAGATGTGACTTTGTCAGTCGTGGTTTAGTCTTCAAAGTGTCCTGACATGTTTCGTAAATATCATTCCTTCTTCAGGGAAAAGAGTTGGGTATAACGATATTACAATATAATAAATACAACATCAGTATACTATACAGCTGTTGGAAAGATTTCGTACAGCATATTATAGATTGTAAGACCAAATGGTTGCATGTATATGTTACCATTATGATATCATTCAAGTACACTTCAATACTTCGTATATATAAAGGATCTGAAGGTCATACAATTGGATTGTGATGCATATGGAGTTGCTGTGTGCCCATGGCCCACACAGGTACTAACAGAGAAGCAGCCTCAGGTCATCCACCTCACTACAGGGATCCCAAAAACTCCAATCCAGTGTTCTGTAGACATCCAAGGGTTCTATAACAGTATGAGTGGATACAATGTCGTAAGCAAATATGGGCAAAATTATGTCACATCTGGGTCCAGATTAAGCTGGAAGTATTGGATTAGAGTGTGGATAAAAGAAAGAAAACATATACAGGGATCAATCCCAAAATTACATCAGAGCATAGAGCTTACCAGGTTTCAATGTGAGAGAGGTTCCCACATAATGGCCGGTGTTGCTCCAAGAGGACACATAAGGGGAATGGATTAATATATATACTGAGGTGATTGGGATAGTACCACCCACAAATGGGCTGGTTCATAGCTGGGGGTAGGCCACTCACCAGAATAACCGGCATGGTATGGCATCCATAGTGGAGTCCCCCAGCATCAGCGGCATTTGGAGTCCCCCACCCCTGAGGGGTATCACCGCTCCACTGACACACAACAGACGATGTGGCACAGATGGAGATGAGTGCAGAAAAGGAGAGGGAGCCAGAACTCACAGACTGTGCCAGGGAGGCATGATCGCGAAGGCCAACCACCTCCAACATGCCATCCACAACATTGGCCCCTATTAAATTCCCTAGAAAGTGTGCTGGGGGCCTGGGCATGCTGGGCAGTGATCAAGAAGGCCAAGGAAGAGGGGGCCACAACCCAGCGCCACCCCGCGGGCCGGCAGCAAACAGCAACCCCATTAGGCATCATAGGCAGAATAACAACAGTAAATATAAAAGTACATAATACAAAAAGTACCATAGGTAACATATGCCAATGTGGAACATATTATTGCGTGGAAAAGGAAGGAGTAAAGATACTGCTTAATTGATACAATCAATAAAAAATAAAAATAAAAAGTGAAAGATAGTAAATACAATGTTATATATATATATTTCCCATCTCTCGGTGTGGATATAAAAAGAGAATCTTTTAACCAAGGTGTGGGACAGAATGGAAAAAAAACACGTTGGCGACCATATAAGGATGGCAATTGAGTCATCATGACATGCCCACACCTGGTAGAATCTAAACACAGGAAGAGGGGAATAGATAGAGAGCATGGTTGTTTCCACATATACCCATGGCGTGCACATGAGCAATATATCATTTAAGTGACAACTTTGTAAAAAAAAAAAAATTGGGGGTAAAAATAAAATCTTCTATGGACTCAACATGGCCCTCAGCAAATTCCTTGGGGTGTCTATTTTCCAAAAAGGGATCATTTGGAGGGTTTTTGATAGGCAATCAGAAAGTTAAAGCTGCAAAAATTCCAATATATTTACCATAGTTTGTAGATGCTATAACTTTCCCACAAACCAATTAATATGCACATATTGGGATTTTTTTTTTATCAAAGACATGTAGCAGAATACATTTTGGCCTACATATGACTAACTTTGAGTTTGTTGGACATTTTTTATATTCAAAAGTAGAAAATATTTTTTTTTTAATTTTCTGTATTTTTTAGTTCATATCACAAAAAATAAAAAAACCCAGTGGTGATCAAATACCACCAAAAGAAATATTTTTAAAATTAAATTAAAAAAGGACATCAATTTTGTTTGGGTACAGCACTGCATGATCACGCAATTACCAGTTGAAATAGCACAGTACTGAATAGCAAAAAATGGCTTGGTCGTGAAAGGGGGCAAATCTTCCAGAGCTAAAGTGGTTAAGTAAATTAGCAATACTGAAAAAGGTAAAGTCAGGTCATTAGCCAAATAGCTAGGCAGTTAGAATTTTCATAAGAAGATGAAAGTAATGGCAGCCTTCAAGTTTTTCTCACGACATGTTTCATTCAGATTCCAACAGATGAGCCTAACTCAGAATTAAATATAATTTGAAACCTGATGAAACATTAATCTATTGCCTCTGCATAAAAGCTCTAAACCAAGTTACAAAATGAAAACACATATCAAAAATAGGACATCAAGATATAGAAAATGTGTGTCTTCTGATATCTCAAAATATATCTACAAAACACACTGCTTACATTATATATATCCATAGAGAACAATCTGCACTTTCACAAGTTACAATGGAGCATTGACAGCATTTTCAACTGTTATTTTTATTTCTGAAATGCAGCCACAAACATTACCACACTATGTGAATATTTTCTGTTTTTAAAAGCAATTTTCCATTTCCCACACTATTGAAAAAAGACAGAAACCTAGTCCATCTCTATATAGCTGAACTTTGTCCTGCTAAAACAATGATTTTAAAATCTTGGTTGGAAGAGCATCATATAGATATTCAATTTGGTTTTATATACAAGGAGAATTAAATTAGTTGCTTGTACTGTATACTAGAGGATTGTGAGAATCTTTGAAGATTTATATAACTCAATGCACAGTTATTTATTTTTTTAATGCAAAATAGAATCTGCTAAGTGGAAACCTTGCCCATGATTAGTTGTGTAAAGAAAATTGATTCTCAAGTGTAAAGTGTAACTAGAATATCCTAAGATTATGCAAATAAACATGGAGGCATGTCTCTTTACATGGTTGTACAGTATTAAAATGTAGTTCAAATGAGTTTTTTTTAGATTTAAAGCTGAATTCCATCAGAAATAAAGAATGCAGATTTATTTAGCTCAGTATTTATTAAAGAAAGAGTATGGGATAGTACAAATAAATAGCATTCACTACCCTTCCCACAGAACAGCTTTTCTTTCTTTCCTGCATTGCTCCATTTTTGCTGTATCCTCATTCCAAGCCCTGGTTAGGGCTGAGTAACAATCCTCTTCAGGTTTGGAAGTCTGGAGTTGGTGGTTACATCTGGTGTAAGCCGCTCCCCTCATCCTCTCCTCCTTTAGCTCTCAGCTGTGACTGCGCTTTCCTCACAGAGACACAAGCTGGAACATGCCTGCCTGTCATGTGCCTCTGTTTCCCTGACTTCATACTGGTCAGCAAGAAACCGAGGCACATAACAGTGTGCTGAGGAAAATGCAACTCCAGGAGAGTGGACTGTACAAGAAAAGAATGAATAAATGTTCTTCAACTTCTTCGCTGCTTCACTCTGCAGAGAGAGAACTGCTAAAGTTTGGCAGTGAGAGCTCAGCCTGGATGGGAGGGGGAAGGAAGGCGGAGGGAGAAAGCAGCTATATGTCTGTAAGTTAAAATCAGACTCAGAATGACCTTGATGGGAGGGGGGGAGTAGGGGGAGTCACAATCCTCTGCAGACAACACTCCTCTTACAGGGTCCGCAGGCCTGAAGTCACATGTGTTGCTATGGGCAACCACATTCTTCTCAAACTTGTGGTCAGGCTGTCGCTCCTTCCTTGCACTCAGAGCCGGCTTGCCTAACACAGATGCAGTCCTTTGCTTTGATATGCAACTTTGCAATGGAGGCTGACACAAAGGGCATTTAGAGACAGTGTGCCCCCACTCCCTGCACCGCAAGCATCGCTCTTGCCAGCGTGTCTTGTCCAGGCTCCCCACATTGCAGCCTTTTTCCAGCTTAGGACTCTGCACATTCATAGCTGGTCTCCTTTCACCAGTGTTGCCAGCAGCAACAACATGCACTTCCCACTTTGGCAAACTTTGTTCATCCATGTATGGGGCTCGTTCTGGTGATAACGACCCCTCCAGCCATAGGGCTCTGTCTCTCATTTCCGCAAATCTTTCTTCTTTTCTTTGCTTTGACCGCCCCATCTTCACAGTCACTTCACAACACTTTTGCACAGTCCAGCATCAAGAAATGAAGCACTGTCTCTTTAAGGCAGGTTCTCCTCACCTGCACACACAAATTGTGCTGTCCATTGCACAGAAACACAGTTCATATAACTGATGAACTTACTTTTGCAGGGATCTCCAATTCTGCCCACTGCATCCTCCACCATATGTGGGAACTCGCTTCAAGTGGTAGAGCTTCTTCAAAGCACACAGCAACTCGCTTATTTTTTAAGGGCCTGTTTGCCCACTTTTATTTAAGAAAGTTCAAACAACCAAAATTCTTCCCACGCAGGGGGGAGGGTATCCACCATCACACGAATTCAAATAAACAGTATTCAGCCTCCTGGCTTGTACGCAGTTTTAAGTCTGCCTCCTGCAGACTCTTCCCCAAAGTATGGCACTAGCACACAGCTAGTCTGGCTTCCACCTCTCCTAGGTGTAGCCCACCTGACTCCACGGCAGAGACCTCCCGTCTGCCTGGGTGGAGTCCTCCTAACTGCCAGGGTGGAGCCCAGAATCATGGCCTGGCCTCCACTAAAAGGCCTGCACACACCTGTGCAATCAGCACGCTGGCTGCTCCCAAAATATGGGCCCAGGATTGGAGATTTCATCCCTCCCAAATCTCTAAGAAATCTCCAGGCTACAGGTCCCAAAACAGGCTTTACAAACCAAAGAGGAAACTTATAAATCAGTTTCCTCTGCATTGTGAGAACTGCCTGGAGCCCCTCAACCTGTTTAGTTGAGAATCCTGTGTCTCCATCATGATTTCCACCATGGCAGGATACCGCACTGCCACAATATATATATATATATATATATATATTGCATTTAACAGTGCGTACCCTGCAGGCAGCTTCTTCTTCTAAAAAACTTCCATGTAGTGTCTCTGTCACAGCTGCCGGATATTGTGCTGAGTGCCTGTCTTCAAGCACTGTAAAGGTTAACTGTAGCCATTGCTACTGAGAAAAGTTGCACCAGCCTATAACTCATGGGTATGGTGCTGTATCTATGTACTAAACTTCAGGTTTAAAGGGTATCTAAACACAGGAATATATTGCAGCATATCAGATCATATGTGGTGCTACATTAGTTTTCTCTTTTCAGATTTTTATCCTTTATTTTCACCTGTTGATTCTGTCAGTAACACAATTCCAGTTCCAGGGTGATGACACTAACTCAATACCACTTATATGGAGGAACTGGGTTGTCTGCCTAAAATTCAGGATTTTTTTTTTATTTTTAATGTTATTATGACTATTAAAGTAGAAATATAGTCAATTTTTTTTTCATTTTGGATAGAGTAAGGGAGGGTTATAACCTTTGTCTATTATTTTTGACGTATGTGTCCAATTGGGGAGAATTCCCTTCATTTCGCGTCCCATAGCCAAACCAGGAAGTGAGGGGAAAGCCCTGCAAATTAGGTAAATCTCTTGGAGCCCCCCAGGTCAACATAACTAGAGTTCCCATTGGAAGATTTCCCCTCTATTACTTTTCTGGGGATAACCCAAAATTTGGGATGGTAAACAGGACAAATATAGAGGGTGAATCTCCCGAATGGGGGCACAGATATCAATAAAATCTGAATCGTGTTCTAATCCATCTCCACTCTAAACTAAAACATTTTGCCTTAAGTTATACTTTATTATATCATATTCACTTATACAGGATTGGAAAACTAGGAATACTTCCTCTTTAAATGTGCTTTACACAAGAATGTTGTTCCTCATCAGTTTTGAAAATGTGATTAACATTGATTGTCTTGTTACAATGGCATCTGAAAGTGGGTGGGATATATTAGGCAGCAAGTGAACAAGTCCCTGAAATTGATATATTGAAAGCATAAAAATGGGCAAGCAACTCTGACAAGTGTCAAATTGCAATAAGTAGATCACTGGGTCAGGGCAATTTCAAAAGTGCAGCTCTTGTGGAGTGTTCCAATTGTGCAGTGGTCAGGATCTGCCAAGAAAAGTAAATTGGTTCAAGGAAAGAAAACTGGTAAACCAGTAATAGGGTCATGGGTGGCTAAGGCTCATTGATGCCCGTGGGAAGCTGGACTGTGTAGTCCAAACCAATAGAAGAGCTACTGTATCTCAAATTACTGAAAACGTTAATGCTAGTTTCGACAGAAAGGTGTCAGAACACACATTACATTGCAGTTTGTTATGTATGGGGCTTTGTAGACACAGGCTGGTCAGAGTCCCCATGCTCACCTTTATCCACAGCCAAAAGTGTCTACAATGGGCATATGAGCTTCAGAATTAGACCATGGAGAAATGGAAGAAGGTGGCCTGGTCTGATGAATTCAAGAATGGTTTGAGGAACACAACAAAGAGTTTGAGGTATTGACTTGCCCTCCAAATTCTTCAGATCTCAATCCAATTGAGCATCTGTGGGATGTGCTGTAAAATCAAGGCCAATCCATGGAGGCCCCACCTCGCAACTTAAAGGTCTTCAAAAATCTGCCACTTGACACCAGATTATATATATATATATATACATATATATATATATATATATATATATATATATAGTGGTAAACTTGCCTCAAAATGGTAGAGATTTTCTTGTTAAAGCACACAGCAACTCGCTTCTTTAAGGGCCTTTTTGCCCAATTTTATTTAAAATAAAAAGTTCCAGAAACACAAATGCTTCTTACACAGGGGTATCCAACTTCAAACCAATTCAGCCTTCTGGCTCTTTCAGCTATACCGCTTTATATCTGTCTCCTACAGACTCCTTCCACAAGGTTGTTTTTGCACACAGCAAACCTCTATCACACAGCTTATTCTGGCTCCCACCTCTACTAGGTGAAGCCCACCTGACTCCAAGGCAGCGACCTCCTGTCTGCCGGGGTGGAGCCCTCCTGACTCTGTCTGCTGGGGAGGAGCCCAGAACCCTGGTCCTGACCCTAGAAGATTGCCCTGCACACCTGAGCAATCAGTATCCTGGCCATTTCCAAAACCTGGTCCCAGGATTGGAGATTTCATCCCTCCCAAATCGCTTTGAAATCTCCAGGCTCCAGGTCCCAAAATGGACCTTACAAACAAAGGAGGAAAGTGAAAAGCCACTTTCCTCCGTATCAAACACTTACCCTGGAGCCACTCAACCTGCCTTGTTGAGAATCCAGGGTGACAGATCGCCACCCTGTCACTATATATATGTATATATACTGTATATATATATATATATATATATATATAATATACATACATATATATATATATATATAATATGAATGAGAACAGTGACACCCAATGATATATCAAGCCTTGGTAAAACACCAGTATAAATAAACTTTAGTCAAGCGTTTTAAAATATAGTTTTCTTTAGCTGAATAGAGATGTGTCTTTTTGATACTGAGGATATTTTCATGCAAATAACAGATTAAATTAATTTAAGTAATATCACTTTTGGCTCAGTTAGCAATCACAAGAAAATCGGCAGATAATTTAAAGAAATAAATGCATAAAATTAAAAAAATAGCAATATTTTAGCTACCTCTGGAATTGACAGGTAACTAAATTTTAAATCACATGAATGGTGTCAATCATCCATTTGCTGAAGTACAGAATATTATATTCTGCATATAATGTCATCCTTGAAACATTCTGTCAGTCACTGGAGATAACCAAAGGAAAGCTTAGAATAAAAAACATAATTTACTGTATATAAACGTGGAATTTTTTTTAAAATGTAACCAGGACTTGAAGATTTCAGATAATTTTTTTTCTACCAAATATATAACTACAGAAAAGATTACAGATAATGCTTTATTTTATAACATAAATATATCATATACTTTGTTTTCCCCAAAAAACATTTAATGCATATGAGTGATATTGAGTGGTATAAAGCTTAGGATACATAAAACAGAATATCATAATTTTCGGCTGCCCACTTCTTGTGTCAATGTGGACATTTTCCCACCCCTCCTTAAACCTCCTATGCCTTTAAAACACACCTGATTTCTTCATGGAATGTTCACCATAAGCTTGATGTAATACAGCTAACCTTTCATTCACACTTGCCAATTTTCACACAAAATGTGATGTTAATCTGCTGCTCCAGATTCCTGTCACTCATTTTCCACCAACTGTGCAATGCACACATGTTGTTTCTTCTACTACTACTACTGGTATATCACCCAGACACAGAAGATCACATTACCACTGTGTCCGGGCAATTACATGGTGTTTTACCATGTGATTGCTGTGTCCAATCATAGCAATCACATAGTAAACACTGGAAAGTGAAACTTAAGATTGCTCTCACACTGAGAGCCTGCTTGTAAACTCAAAGACTGCTGTGCCAGCCATCCACAGTGTCCCTGTTTAGTGCCCCTGTGTCCCTGATCAGTGCCCCAGTATATTTATAAAAAATAATGCAAGCAGTCCCACTCACCTGTGCCAGTGCAAACAAAAGCACCCCCATACACCATACCAATGTCCTGATCACCACCATACTAGCCTCCTGATCATCACCATACCCAAAACCAACCACCTGATCACTGCCATAAACAAACCAACATCCTGATCACTGCCATATGCCATACCAGCACCCTGATCACTGCCATACACCTTGCCAGCACCCTGATAACCACCATGCACCATACCAGAGTCGTGATCACTGCCTTACCAGTGTCCTGATCCCCACCAGACACCATACCAGTGTCCTGGTCACCGCCATACACCATACCAACATCCTGATCACTGCCATATCCAATACCATTATCCTGATCACCACCATACCCCATACCAGCTTTCTGATCACCACCATACCCCATACCAGCATCCTGATCACCGCCATGTCCCATATCAGCGTTCTGATACCTGCCATACCCATGCCAGCAATCTGATCACTGCCAAACCCCATACCAGCATCTTGATCACTGCTATACCCCATACCAGCATCCTGGTCACCCCCCATACGCCATACCAGCATCCTGATTACCCCCATACCCCATACCAGTGCTCTGATCACTGCCATACGTCATACCTAATCAATTTTCAAATATACTGAATACCCCGTAGTTTGTAGACTCTTTAGCTTTCATGCAGACTAAATAATATACACTGTTTGTGGTTATTTTTACCCCAAAAATGTAGCAGAATACATTGTGTCCTAAATTTATGAAGAAAAATTATTTATTTGCAAAATATTATAACAAAAACTAAGCACAAAATTATTATTTTTTAATTAAATTTTTTTGTTTATATAGAAATAAATAAAAACCCAGTGGTGATCAAATACCACCAAAAAAAAACCTATATCTCTCTCCAAAAATGATAAAAACTTTCATACGGGTACAGTGTTGCACTCAAAATGTGATAGTGTTGAAAGCTGAAAATTAGTCTAGACTGGAAAGGGGTGAAAGTGCCTGGACTTGAAGTAGTTAAACTGGTCTTTGACCCAAGTGAGTGCAAGTTAGAACATGTCCAAACACACTCAAGTGCGAATAGCTGTGTAACTCACCACCATAATGCTATGCCATGGACATTCTGGGAATTAAATTGTCACACCTTGTATTTTTTTTTCCATAAGGTTTATTAATAAACTCAGAGCATACAATAAGTACAGGCAATACAAGGTATCAGTCGGAAATACAATAGAAGGTAATGCACATACAGCGAACAAAAAGATACATAGCAATACATAGACAAAGAATCAGACGTAAGTCATCCCAGGGGAAAGAAAACACTGGAAAAATGAGAATATGCCAGTGAAGGAACATTAAAGGCATATCTGGACTCAAGCCCTTATTCAGCATATTGCAATCACAGCACTGGCAGGGTCAATGATATATAACCTCAGTTACTGAGCAGCAGCAAAGAGCAGGGCCAGTGAGTCAAAGGTATGCGTTGGAAATGTATACAGTAGATGTGGAGGGGGGGGGGGTGTGCAAGGGCTTGTAGGATATGGCCTTGTACTTCTGGTGAAACTGAGGGTAACCCACTACAGGTTGCCAGCACGTGGGTAAAGGGTTCGGGAAAGGAGATATGTAAAAGTAAAATATATGCGCAGCTGAATTGCAGGTAGGGTGTAGGGCTCCTATGAGTAGAGAAGTGTACCAAAATAGAAAGGGGAGAATGAAAGCTAAACTCTGAGTAAGAAAGCAGGGAAATGGGAATTAAGAATTTAAGAATAACCATGAAAAAGAAGGGAAGAGAGGAGAGGAAGAAAAAAAAAAGGGGGGGAGATGGGGGGTTGGGGAAGGGTCGGACGGGGAGGAGTAGGAGGGTAGGTAAGTCACCTTTACTCTAGACTCTCAGGACATGAGAGACACACCTTGTTTATATCCTAAACATTTAGCACCTGATCCCAATCATATGTGTGAAGATCACAAGATCTACATCTATTTGTTTTACATGTATAAAATTCATACATTGTCAGTTAAGTATTAGATTGGCTAAAGAAGAGGTCAACATACCTTGAAAGCTTGTAGTAAAATCTACTTAGTTAACCAATAAATAGCATCACCCTAAATACAAACTTACAATGCAGGGAGCATCACCCTGTTGTCCAAACAGCTATTGGAATACCTTTTTTTGCAATTGCTTTGAGCATTTCATAATAATCCATGGCAGCACAGAGATTGGGGAAATACCAACATTATTATTTTAATTAAAGAAAAACAAACAAGTAAGCCAAAAGGCAGGGAATTTAAGCTGTGCCAACTCTTTGGCTAACCTATTTTTCTCCAAGAATCCTTTATCGTATATTGAATGTTTATTTGGTAAACGAGTAGAAGAGAAAGATGTAACACATTTAATTGACAGCTTAGTTTTCCTTTAAGGGCCTGACTGGATGACATTTGCCTGATCTGAATTATTGTATAAATAGCTTTAGTGTTTACAAAACCTAAGGTTACTCACACATTCTGAGCCTTATTTAATAAAGGGATGTGTGCAGTAACCCCTAAAAGCCTGTTATAAAACCTATGTTTTACTGGTCTGACAGAAGAGACAATTATTATTGGTTATTTTGCTTAAAGCCTAACTCCAGATTTTTTGTGCCCCCTCTATAAAGCCCTCTCACGCCTATTCTTTAGAAAACTCCTATTAAATGCACCTATGTTCATACAGTCTTCAGGCTAGTCATGTGACACCATAGACATTTAATTTTCTCCTACTGTGCTGGTAAGTTCATACTCCTGGACAGCAGGGCACTTAAAAAATATGTCCATTAAATACTGTGACCTGGAGTACTTTAAGCCCAGGCCAACCTGATGACAGACCCATAGGGAGTATCAGAAAGGAGGTAAGTAAAGCAGTAAGATCTGCTTTTTTATTTGAAAACCTGTTAAAAAAAATTATTTAATATTTAAAAAAGGTGGAGTTGGTCTTTAGGAATTCTTAGCCAATCAGGGTTCTGCTGCTTTGCACAGTGCCATCAACCAACAGTTTTAACATGCTTAAAGGATGAGAAAACATAATGATTCTCTTAAATGCTCTGTGCAAAAATTGTTGGCACTGTATGAATACTGTATAATGATAATAATACTATAATAATAATAATCAGTGTGATGTGCAAAATAAATATTAAATTTTCAGTAGATACTGAATAGTTAAATAACATAATAGCTCCCTGTGTATCAAGGAATACAGTGAGATCTCTGTGTCTCTGTGTCTGATTAACTAACTGTTCTGGCAGTTACAATGTAATTTTAATTTCCCCCATGGATATTTATTTTTTATAATGGAAAACAGAAACAGTTATGTTGAAGCATGGAAAATGAGACTCCAAGGTGCATCAGCCAGTTTTGCTATGATTCCCAAGCTCCAACCTCTGTATTACTTCATACAGTATCTTTGGAAATGGTAAAACAATTTCAGCTGAAATATACTGTGTGCAGCTATTTGATTACTGCCAATACAAAGAGAAAAAAAAATACTATAAACAGAAAAAGGACTCAAAATTGGTACTGATATATAAAGACATAGTACATGATTGATGATAAGGTCAGTGTAGAAGCACAGATCATAATCTAAGGTTCACCAGTTCACCTCCAAATAAATCACGTGCCTGACACACACATGCACACATACAAACACACACATTATTAAAGCGGTAGTAAACTGCAAGAAAGAAAAAAAAAGTCCCCTGCAAGGTAATATTATAATGTGCTAGTATGTGTCGCATACTAGCACATTATGTAAAGTTTACCTTAAAACAAAGCCCTACAGTGGCGAGCTGTCACCGCTGCAGAAGCTTCCATCTTCACCCTGTCCTTCTTCCGGGTTCACGATCTCTGGCCGTCTGTAAGGCTGGGCCACAATAACATCACTTCTGCGCATGCGCGCTGGAGTCCCAGGCCACAGCACACAGCTCTGAAGGAACGGCATGGATATGCCATTCCTCAAGAGTGCATGCGTCGGCTTTAGGAAAGAGAGAATATCTCCTAAACAGTGCACTTTTATAAGATATTAATGTTACCTATAGGTAAGCTTTATTATAAGCTTACCCAGGGGTGGACTGACCATTTGGAAACTCGGGCACTGCCTGAGGGCCCGGGGTCAGTAGGGGGCCACATGAGATGCCCCTGGTACCGTTTTCATAGGCTTTTTTGAGTTTGGGCAAGGACACATGGGCCCCATAATCCCCTATTGCCCGGGGGCCCCATGAGTTGTCAGTCCGCCCCTGAGCTTACCTGTAGGTAAAATAAAAAAAAACAAGTTCACTACCACGTTAAACTTCAGAGGAATAGTTGAGTTTCTCCTGTGCGTTTAAGTAGTCCACTAATGAGGGTGTGAATCAATGTACAGTCAGGTAAATCTGCAAATTGGATTTTTTTTTAATTGGATGTAATATGTCTGCAGATTTGTCAAATTTGATAAATCATAATCATAATCATCATAATCGTAATAAAACTCTGGATTTTCTTTTTATATCAACTGCCTAATCTACTGATCAGAAACATTTTCAATTATTCAGATATTTGTTCAATTTGCAAATATTAAACAATGCATGAATGATGGATTATTTTTCAGATCAGATTTTCACTATCACGATACATACAGAATATTAAAAAGAAAATAACTCTAGCAGCTGCTAGAGCCGTCCTTTCTACATCAAATGAGCCATGTTTTTCTTGTATTTTTTAATTAAAATGCTTTTAAGATGATGCATGTCTAATGGCAGCATAACACACCAGAAACAGACATGGTTATTTTCATGACAAAAAGAAAAAACCTCAGCGCCCAGGATTCTCTTATTAGACACACAATTCCCCGTGAGATGCTGCTGTACACAGGTGCAAAAACCCAAAAAAACTATATCAATAAATACCAGCGCAAACCCACATAATAAATTGCATCACCCAACCTATTAGACAAACTAAAAAAACGTGACCACTTATATGCTAATGAAATAATAAAAAAAATATATATATAAATAAATACATAAATAAATAAATAAGTAAATAATTATTGAATTAATAAGTCCAGTGACAAAAAAATCCCAAAATAACAGTCCCGTGACAAAAATTGTAATTATACTGTAATTTTCATTGGATTCTTCCGTGCTTTTGATCCCTTCACCATCCACCAGTGCAAAAACCAACATTAACCGCACTCACCAGATATTAGTGAATCACACGCCTTTCAGGAATATTAAGGGCTCCTGGACCCCCTTTACTTTATATAGGACCTCCAAATAATACCTCCTTTCAGATCTGGGTACCTCTTCTGGTTACTCCTCTCACCGAATCCCCCAAGGAAAATCAGGAAGAAGAAAAAACCATAGCGTAATACCGTAGTGATTTCTCATCAAAAAAAATCTCTCCAGACAACTCACATTTTAGCAGGATATAACCCACATTTTATTTGAAACAACAACGATCTTTCTTTAAAAACGATCCTCTTTCCATGTACAGCGACTCTTGCATAAAAGACCCCCACAGCCTAGTATACAGCAGGATGGCAGACCTCAGATGCAGACTCATTCACTATTCAAAAATGGCCCCTT